CGGAGACTTGCCACGGTCTCCAACCGTCCTCCTTTCTCATCCGGGCTTGGGACCGGCCATGGCGGAGTTCATTGCTTCATTTACAAAAGTAATTAGCACAAGCTTCCAAACGTTATTCTGTTCTCATTTGCATGTCAATTACCATTCACTTATCTTCGTTACGTCGCCCTTAGTCTCCCATTTGTCCAAACGTACTCGCAGAACTGCTGCTATATTTTATCCTTCTCAATAGAAAATCAATAATTTTCAGCTTCCTACTTTAGTAGATTTGTATCTTATCCGAGTTAGTGAGATTTCTTTCGAGTTCTTCAGTCATGAACCATTAGGCACTGCTATTTTCTGAGTGGTCGAATATTCAATGAACCGGCTTTGACCATGTTCTTCGCAAATGTTTGTAAGCATTCCTGAATTAATTTGAGAACCTATTATGTTCCTAGGTATATGTATACGTAGGTTCTTAAATTAATTCAGAAATGCTTACAAACATTTGCGAAGAATGATCCTATTGTCAAATTAACTGGTCAGCACTGGGGGTAGAAAGCGGGAAATAGAGAATTTTGGCGGAGCGTCGACTTGTGTTTAAGGTGTACTCATCATGAGGACAAGTCAGATAGCAGATATTTAATAAGAGATGATATTAAGTCTCTTATCATCGGATCGGAGGATGACTTCTCCAGGACGAAACGGATACAGAGTTAGCACTGCTTTTAAGACTGTGTCTAGGCAAATATCGAGAAACTCGAGTTCACCAGCTGTGTGCGACTCAGCCATCATGTGGACCGCATGAACTTGGTAGATGAGAAAATCAGCACAAAACGGAAAGGTGTATGAGTTAACTTGACATTATTTGAACATCGCTATTCGACGATGAGCTGCTCATGCGAAAAAAGAAGGAAATGTTTGATTCAACTCCCCTGCAGGCCATGATCCACGGGCGGAACGATGGCATGCTACTAACGCTGAGGAGAACAAACTGATGGTCAGGCGAAGAATGCGCATGGATCAAGTTACCAGTGCACAGATTCTACAGTGAACTGGATCACCTTCATGATGCCCAGAGAAAAAATTGACCGGCCGGTCGTCGCACGCCTGAAACTCAACCAGCGGACGTCAATAATTAAAAATTCTCGGTTCCTTTGACGCGGTCGTTCGGAAACATGCTGGCACGTGTTTTGGAGGCATTAAGCAGAGAGGGGGGACAGTAGCGAGGGTCGATTTGCGTTCATGACCCATCCATATCGAGGACAAGTCAGGTGATGAATATAATTATTCAAACTTACTTCGTCGTAATTGTTAAACTGTGCAATGTCTCTGGCCGACCTCTTTCATTGCTACGTTGTACACGTAGAAGTAAGAGCGTCGACGCACTTACCGGGAAGGTTCGCCGGTTCATTGACGTGTTCGCATACACGATCGAAGTAATCAACCCTTGGAGCTTTCGTTTCCAAGGCGAAATTTGACGGATGGCTGAGTCTTGATGCCTTGTTTAAGATGCACTCATTCTACAACAACAAAAAATTACGTTTGGTGGATAGTCAATATTTATGTTTCGCTTGTAGCATAGCTTGATTATTCAACCCTGAAGGATCCATCAGCGATAAAACTTTGAGTCTTCAAAGTTCAGGCAACAGAGGCGCAGAATAGGTGAACATTACCAGAAGCCAATATGTTACGCAGAAAAGTTTGTCGAAAATATCAATCGGTTATGAAAATTTCTCCAGTCATTTTGGGTAACCTCAACCAAGTGGCAAAACGGTTGAGGACCATAGAACCAACTGTGGAAATCAACTCAGACCATCTTGAAAAAGGCTCATAAGAGACCAACCGAAACGTCGATACAGGTCAATCACCCGATGAAAAAACTTGTTTGCTTGCGTTGCGTATAAATAAATAAATAAATAAATAAACCGTTTTTATACAGTTGTCAGTATGATCACCAGGTTAGGAACAAGATAATCATTTTTCCAATTTCTATTATTTTGTATTACCTCAGTTTCAGTTTCGATGACTTTGACTTAAACATTTCGATGACTATCTTTCAGATGGTACATAAATGTTGTAAGCCGTCTAAGCAAAGGTTGAGGCATTTGTCGCTTGTCAAAACAGTTGCTTGAAAGCTTTTGCTCGTTTATTCGTTTTATTCATCTCCCCGGGCTTGTCCTCCATGAGTACGTAATGTAAATGCAGGTCGACGTTGCACTAATTCCGTTTCTTCTTCAGCGCTTCTTAGCGAGTGGGTGCACTACAGTTTGTCATTACAGGAATGATAAACTTCTTGAAGTACTGTTGGTCCATAAATTCTATTCAGAGAAATGTAAATTCGTATGTGGCTTCTGCCATCAACATGTATTTTCCTAAAGAGGCGGATATCAACGTCTCTGCAAACCGAGACGCAATGCTGAACAACCTCCGGGAATCAGTTCGGCAGGAACTACTTATTTATGCCAAAAATGCAGTATTAGGATTGCATGGAAATCGTTGGAACAGTAGCAGCAACGCTGAACATCCTTTTCATAGCACCGATGATGATTGGTGCTCCTGAGGATGGAATTTGAGTACAAATAAATAATACGCCTCAGACCTCGCAGAGGATCCGGAAAAACACGCGCAAACAACGCATATCTGTTTCGGCTCGCTGAATCGATATAAGGCGTATCAGTTGCCATCAATAGCTGTGGTTACCGAATCATAGAAGAACATGAACGAGCGGCAGTTGTCGTCCGAGTGCATCATCGCGGAAGCACAGGCGCAGAAGCAATTGTAAATCGAAGCCTTGCGGATGACTACATCGGCAAAGCCGACCAAAACGTGGTTCGCAAAGCGGCGAAACACCAACCTGCCGTGCCTGCAACCTGAAATGATGCAGAATGAGGTGTGAGGTTGGACTGGTCTGCAGAAGAAACATCATTGGCGTACCTCGCGTCTCCATGAGCAGTGGTGACGATGCGGTTGAGGATCGGAGACCGTTGCTACCTCCGTATGCTAAAATGAGCTGACAAGAGCTTTGTTGCGAGTCAAACTTTACCGCGTCGTAAAACTGGTTTTCTGAAGCATACACCTATAACAAAGATAGACAATATACCTCAACGTATGGATATTAATCGGTTTGAGTCAGTCTGAAAGTGAATTTGAAGTGGAATCGAGTCACGTTTACACGTTTAAGCGTGCCTCTTGAGGAAGTTCTAAAGTCGTCAAACTGGGACAACTAGTCTTGCAACATAGGACGAAAGTTGCTTAATTAACAGAGGAGAAAAGTGGCATAAAGCACCTTTGGAGGAGTAATTATTTCTTAACAATGGAAAATAAATCTGCGATTCAGACGGTAGATTTTTTTTTCACTGTGTATTCAGGAATAACAAAAGGACACCAGGTTGGAGCTAGTGAGCGCAGCATGAAGAGGTGTAATTTTCAACAACAGCAACGAACCGTTGGAAAACCCCGCAGACACGGATTTGTTTGAAGGAGAACACTAAGAAGCACACTAACTCAGAGTGATTTCATTTTGTTTCAAGAGAGAGCCAACAACCCCGTGGCAGATGTCTACATCGATGACCAGCTAAAGACACGTTTCTGATGTTTCTGAAATGCAATATAGACAACAGTTGCACGTGACAACATTTTGTGGCACTGTCTTGCAGAACCTTGCGTCTAACAGCGGATCGAAAATGCTTCATGGTTATGACTGCGAGGCTAGCGACGATGAAGTTGGCAGCGACGATAAGGAAAATGATTATAATAATAATAATGATAGTAAAGGTGATGACGATGATGCCGATGATGAAGATCATGAAGGTCTTTATTATGAAAAGGATGAGGACCGTGAGGAAGTGAGAATTACGATGATGATGCAGTATTTCGTTTAGAAATTTGTGGTCATACCGCAAAAGGGCATAAAACACGGTTTATGTCCTCCCAACGTTTTAGCCCATTCTTCACGAGCTTGTTCAAAGTAAGATGTTGGTTGAGATTAGGAAGATCTCCTTGTTGTCCCAAGCGGTTGTGATGTTTGGAGCCACGGGATGAGCTTTGTCCCTGTGTTGCAAAAATAGTAGTTTCTTGATGACGACAGCAACAAGGTTCATCCATTCCGCACAGAGTTCGCAACCTTCGTGGCGGGTGGAAGTCAGGGCGCGTTTGTTCGTCCGGTGTCTATCATTGGTGATATCGTACACTGTAATCACCAGAGGGCGTGTTGTAGCTGTGCCGCCTGCTGCACAATCGCAGGAGTCTACTCGCACTGTTCTTTTACATGGCGCAGGGGGGGGCGAGGCTTCGTTGCCAAGTATCGCTCTCGCTTGTCCACGATCATCCATCTTCTCCCTATTAACAGGCATGTCGTGCTTCCTGTTTCTCCAATATAATATTAGCTGCCGTTACGTTGTAGTTTGTAAACCCAGACTAGAGATGGTGATGTAAATGGCGGAGATGAGGATAATGATGATCAAGATCACTTAAACACTGACCTGCGAATCACTAATTCATACCATAGAAAGCCCCCCTCTGCACTGCCCTGTTAGATGGTACCAATCGTGTTACAAACTAATATTGAAAAAACGTCAAATGCTTGTGAATGCCTTACCTTATAATCACCAAATATTTTCTGACACGTGTCGAGATCGACGTTCTTCACTAGTACTGTTTCTGCTCCTTTGCTGTACAGTAAAAATTGCTGCAACTCATTCGCTTTTCTTTCTGCTGCTTGCAATTCGATTCCTAAACAAAACTCAGTCTGAAACGCATATTAATGTAATATTCCTCAATTAATCTATAACAACCATGATCGACAACGCTCAACATTTATTTAAAACAATATCACGTAAGGCAGCGTGTCCGATTGATTCATTGGCTGTCTTAATATGCGAGGCGTATATACTGTTACTGTAATATGTTGTGCGAACGTAGCTCGAATAAAAGTGTTAATTGCAATGACATCAACAATAAGCAAATTAATAATAATGAACAAAAGCATCAGTAAACAACACAGGATACAAAAACAATTCTATAAGAGAAAACAGCCTGAATAATCAGGGTTTGACCTTCTAAAAATATGTATATGAGGCAAAACAAATATTCAAGAGAAACCTGCTTGTTGGTTATTGTTGAAGATGGTAACCACCATGAAGATCGTTGCTTGACAAGTATATAACAAGGGACTTCAGACAGCCAAAAATTGAAAGATACGATCAGACAGATAAGTAATATAACATTAATCAGAACAGGGTAAAACTACTTACGGGATCCGGCTAGTCAAGCGATCTGTCCCGCTACTGAACACTTGTTTCTGACATTGTGATATCCGTAAGCATATTGAGATGAAGGTGTGATGTTGGCATATGTTAGGACTCTGTTACTTCTTCACTGGGTTGCGGATTAATCTAACTATTTTCGATGGTGCTCCCTGGCTATTAATTAAATTTACTTCTGAATATATTTGTTTTATATAAAAATTGGTGTTTGGAGGTGGATCATTGACTGTTGGCGGTGACCCATCACGCTGATCAAGCTGGCAGCATGGCGATTTTCTTGCCATGCGATTCCACGCTGTAGCAATTACCATCTTTCATGACTAGATAACTATAATGGATCGATTCAATTTATGATATCGTGGGCCACAATACACCAACAAGTAGACTTAGCTAAAAGTAAAAATAGCTCCTTCTGTCTCGTGGCATCATGCATCATCCAAGAGGAAGAAAATTTTCCAAACGATGCATCTCAAACAACCTGAGGAACTAGAACGCAGGGTACGTAACAGGGAGATTTCCCTAGCTTGCAGTTATCAAGTTATGTACCATTTAGCATGCTTCGTAACAAAAAATTAATTTTATATTTATGCGGTAGCGCTTACGAATTACCGGCACCGAAGGGTTAGTAATGATGGGCAGGACGTAGCTTAAGCAGACAAAATAAACCATGATACATTTCTTTCTGCAGGTATTCTAACATTATACTGCGATGGCTCATTTAAATGGCCCCACAGGTAACCAAGAGGGAGCGGGCAGTGCAATACACCATGGAAACCGGTTTTAGATGAGCTACACCAAATGTCCTTGTATATTTTTGGGCAGAGTTTTGTCACGTCTTTCATGAAATCTTTGTGACAGTACCACTGTGGCCATCGTCTGATAGGAAGGTTTTTACACAATGAATATCCATGTTCCACAGCTTAGATCATCGTCAGAGAGGGCCATTCGAATTTACTTGTGTATTGTTACGCATTTCGCTACTCCTTTCGTAATAACCTATTAAAACATTCACTATATTGAGCTACTTTCCCTTATAATCTGTTAATAAATCACAAACGAGGAGAAAACGCATAAAATGCTCTTTAATTAGGAACATCTGACATTTCGAGCCAAGCTCGGTCCCTTTTCTTATAGAAAGTTAAAAATTTCATCTGATCAAAAATGGTTTTCGTCAGAACGCCTATTGCCTCGAAAGAATCAGTGCTGTAGGCCATCACGTCGACACAAGTCAAGGCCACCAGCTTTCCCCTGAAGAAAATGCGTGAAACGTGGGCCAAAACATCGGTTGTGGTCTGTCATGTGATTATTTTGTACTGGTAAACGCGTTTGGTGTAACGTGTTTCAGGTCATTACCAGTGATGATCAGATGCATCTTCCTGAAGCATCGTTCATCATGAGCATCAGGTGGCTCTATTCAATGAAATGATACGCGACGCATCTGGCAATGCATGTGTCCACATATCATGGGACTGAGGGCGGCTGAAATTGCTCCCACCTTAGGCAACCAGGCATCTTGAGCAAGGGGCGGTGCAACACACAGTGAAATGTAGCTTTAGAGCAATATGCACTACTAGGTTACAAACTGGAAGAGTTCGAGGCGGCTGCCGTCCATACATGTCCTGCAGAAAGCTTGAAACGGTC